CATTATTTCAGACTTTGCTCTCCCCTCCCCTCCTGGGCTTGCTTATATTGCACTCTTTCCATAACTATATTCTCCCCAGCCTATCCACACACTATTTTCTAATGCATGTCCAACAAAACTGCATCCTGTGAACATGCAACCTGTATTTAAGCCTGAAATAAAACATCTCTTGAGTTTCTTTCCAAGTTTGAGTTTCTTTCCAAGTTCCAAGCTCCTGCATATGTCAGCTTATTTTTTGAGCTTGAAAATGGAGACCTTTGACTTTAGTGACCAACAGTGTTTGCTGAAAAAACCCTATAGTTCTTGCTTTTACCATTTAACTAAGGATGGAACCAATGAAATAAGTTCTACCAAGGAATAGCAAACAAGAAAAGGCATAGAATTACAAACTTTGCTCCTCCCTGTCTCCCCATATATGCAAAATTAATGATTATATGTTGACACGTCTCTTAACCATGATTGATGCTAATCAAGGTGGTTCCATACCATCTTGATCAGGATTTTAAAATCACCATTAGCTATGGCTAAGGGACAAGTTGTTTAGGTTTAATCTCAGATAAGCCACTCTCTCCATCCCACCCTCTCATGTTGTAGCTGAATGAAATTCTGCCTATCAGGGAAGCTACTGTGATTTTACACCCAGAAGCCATTTCCTCTTACAGTCTCAATTTAGTTGCTGGTCTGGAATTTCCAAACACAAATAATCGTCATGGGATACGGATCAAAATGTTCTTGTTCCATTATTGAATCGCTTGCAAACTGGCCAGTTAAAAGCACCCTTGCTGGCAATGCTTGTGTCTCCTTTCTCTGAACAGCTAAAACTGTCCAGTTTTCCTTTCAAATAAATGATCTCCATCAACAACACTGATCTTCCCTTCATGTTCTGCAAAGCAGAAGGCCTGTAGCTAAGGTTTTGGCTGATGAATACACCCACCCACAATCCACTATGGGAGTATGTCCTCATCCTCTGTTGTGTCTAGGGGTGCCCACACATTACATTCAACAAGTGTGACCTCTGTACTTGTGCGCTTAACAGTTGAGCTGTATAAATGTGTACACAGAAATGCCTGTGTATGTGTAGAGACAGTTTGTATCCGTGCTCAGTGTAACGTGTGACTAAGCTCTCATTCTCTAGTTCCTCTCCCTAATCCTCACCTTCCAACCCAAGTGTTTCCCTCTCCATCTTTTTTCCCTTTCATCCCTTTCAACCCCCTCTCTGACGCATTTGCTATTGGTGGCAAGTCTTCCTGACCATGAGAACAATGCAACATAAAACACTCCTCCCCAACCCCTGCCTTGTTATCTGCCTTTTCTAAGGCAACAGTCCTCATAAGGCTCCCCCTTCCTTGTTTTGCCGTTCCCTTGAAATCCATCTACAACTTTTATCTTGACAGTCAGAGCCCACATATATCCTCCAATGGGGTTCAGTTGGGCAGCAGAGGAATATTAGTCTAAGGTATGTGCCTCAATGCCTTACATTCTAACTAAGCCCGATTTTTCTCTTCAACAAAAACATCTATAAATATGAATAATACCACTGACAAGCCACTATTGAGAGCGGGTAGCTTTTAAGAGACTCTAAAGAGCTCTACTCCTGCTCCATTACTGTGATGTTGTCTAGATTTTTCTCACACAGCCTTTGCCAGGGAAGTTATTTTCTTCACAGTTCTTTTTTTAAAAATAAAAATGAAGCAGTAGCACGAAAACCCTGCCATGTAAGATTTTAGTTCTGTGTATCCTGCTTCTCTACAGCCACAATGGGCATGTTCCAGCCAGTTATGAAGATTGAAATCCTACTGTTTGCTGTATGTATTTACCTGGAATGAACAAATCTCAAAACTGCTAAACTTTTGATTGGATTGAGTCCGATGGGTGTTGCATTTCATTGTCTTATTACAAAAGTCCTGTACATGATGCTCTTTTAAAGGGGGAGGGAACCCCAACCCCTGTTCTTAGAAACTGTCCCCACAAAAAAGCAGGCACAACTCATCTTAGAAAGGTAAATGCAACACATCAGTGAAATCAATACTTTTAAAACAGAAAGCCACCATTCCGAAACATCCTCTACACAGCCCAAACCTGCAAACCAGTTAAGCTGAAGTTTAGGGATTTAGCTCCAATGAATTGGTTTTTAGCACGTAAGCCTGGCCCTGGAGCTGTTTATTCTACTCTGATTGCAATGCCACACTTGATGAATCTGACATATTTAGAAATGGATGCATAAGCTCACCACCTGCCTTTCACAGCTTATTTGGTTCAAGAGATCACGCCAACGATGCCCTGAATTTGCTTCTCATCTCCAGCCCCCAACCCCTGCAATATTACCCCCTTCCTGGATGTTCTCAGCATATTCATGGGACTTCAAATGGCACATACATTAAAAGGAAAGTCGCTTTAGGAAACAGCATGTTTGATACCTATACATTTTCAAATGCACATCCAAGGATGCTTCATCACAACTTGTTCAGGAAAAGTACTTGCAGAAACAGGAGCCTTTGCCAAGATGGGACAGCATTTAAGGTCAATTAAAAGGTGATCATGTTGCTAGAAGGAGCAGAGGTGTTGATTAATGTACTGAGAAGTATTTGTATGATCACTTGTAGTGCATTCCAAGTATTGTGCTTTTAAATTCTACGTGTTTCTTTTGTGTGTGTTTCTAAGTCACCTTGAGGCATTTTGTGTAAAGTTTTTAATAAGTAAATAAATAACTAAGGTTTGGGAGCTCAATAGCAACCCTGAATTGTTCACATCTCTAAGGGGCAGCAGAGCTGCACTAGCTCAGCTGGTTGAGAGACGTATTAAACAGAGCTCATGTAATCTTTACATGTCTAAACAGCACTCCATTCTGAAGTGAAGATCAAGTGTGCTACTGCTGGGGTGTTGGGTTTGACTGAGAAATCTAGATCCAAACATCCTGCAAAGTTCAGTGCACGGCTCCGGGCAAATTCACCACTTCACAAGGCTGTTGCAAGACTAAAATAATTCTTTTGAACTCCTTTATGGAAGGGTGTAATAAATGTTCTAGATATGTCAGATTACTCACAACAGCAAACCTTCCAGTGGAGCCAAAGTTTCTAAGCACTGAATGGAGGCATTTTGCTTTGGGGGAAAACAGCATGGCGTCGTTTTGTATTTTTTAAGAGCTCAGATTTGACTGCTCACCATCCTATATAATGCATGTCCCCAAACTGCTGAAATCAGTAAGAAGCGTGTTTCTAGGAAGCAATATGACATTCCCACATTGATAGGCCAGTGCAGTAACTACGACGACATTTGATTTAGATGTGAGAGGGCAAGGTTCAAATCCCAGCTCAGTTCATTGCACAGCCTTGGGCAAGTCACTAACTCTCAGCTGCACCATCTCGAAACCCAGCGAAGGTTTCTAAAGAGGACTGAGGATAAAGGGAACTGAAGTGCACTTGTGTACTGAAATGCACTTTTAAAATAGTACTAAGCATGCACAAATGTTTCCTGCTGAAAGAAACGTAAGCAACATAGCAGGATGTGTGGAGGGGCAACAGCTCAGTGAAAGAACACGTGTGTGGCATGCAGAAAGTCACATGTACTGCCAGTTTAAAAGACCAGGTCACAAGTGATGGAAGAGGGCAACCTCAGAACAGATCATACTGGGCCAGATGGACAAGTAATCTGACCTAGTATACGGTGGCTTCTGATGTTCTTATGATAAAACATGTGTTCAACTTATCTTGCTACGTTAGCTCTTGACTGTTATCCCTTATATATACATATCTGACAGTGACCCAGAGATCAGATCATTCAGAGACTATTCCAGCCACACTGGCTGGCAGCAGATCCACAAACTACAAGCAGAGGTCTCTCCCATTCTTGCCTGGAGATGCCAGCAACTGAACCTGGGACATTCTGCATGCAGGACATGCTCTAGCACAAATCTCCCCCAATGAAGAAAACTTAATTGATTGCATTTAAAAAATTGAGTAGGGAGGGAGATTCCCCCCGCCCCAGCTGCCCCCTGCACAACAGTGATCTACAAATAACATTTGCAATGCAACCATCGACAAACCTGTCAGTTACCATGGACAGAACACTGGTCATATAATTTATGTCATAAAGAAGCCAACACACGGACATCAAATACACTTCACTGGGGAGGGGTTGACAACATATATTTGGACTGTTTTTATTTATTATTACCATTATTATGAATTTTGGTGCTTCTCCAATAGAGAAAGGGATTTGACCTATACTTTGGGCTCTCAGAGATTCAGAAAACTTTTTTCCTTTCCAAGCACCCGGCTATCTGTTGGCACAGTAGCACCTCTGGTCTCTTTGCCCGTTCCAGACGCTCCGTGGGACTTAAAACAGGTGGAGGGTATTGACGTAGTACAAAACATATTTGAAATCCAATTGGGAAGGAACTATTTTTAAAAGAAAAGGGAAAAAAGATTTCATTTCTGACAGGCATGTCCAATTCCTTTATAAAACAAAACAAAAAAAAGTCCAAGAAAGTGGTATATCATTCAGCAGACACAAGAACTATACCCTTTTTTGTAATAACGAAGAAAGGGGGAGAAAACATTTAAAAGTTCAAAGACCAAAGAAAGAAAACCACGCACATTAGGCAAACGTTTGAAGAAGGGGAAAAAGGAAAATGGGTGGTTTTTTTTAATTTGAGCAGAGGAGTGCACAAGACAAGGTTGCAAAAACCAGAACTAATTGTTGTAAAGGAAAAAAACAGAAGGGGGGTTAAGCAAAAGGAAAAATATAGTTTAGGGGTGGGGGTATAGGAAAGAGAGCCAAAAAGGGGTAAAAACAGCTGCTAGACCTCACACTGCAAGGAAAACAAACGAATAACAACAACCAAGAACAAAACAGGTAGTGTCTCTTTTTTAAAAAAAGAAAAAAGGAAACCACAACCAAAAAGTAATTCATTATTCATCTTATGTTGTCAATTTGAAAAGAACAAAAGGGGGGAAAGCAGTTGGAGGAGGAAGAGAAGAAGAAGCGGGGGAAGTACTCACCAAGCAAGAAAATACTCAGAAGTAAAAATGTCAAAGGAGGAGTGAGTGAGAGACAGGGAAGGAGGAAAGAGTGAGAGAGCCACCAGCACAGACAGAGTAATAGCCCAGAAGCAGCAGCCCGAGCTACCGCCGGGTTCCCGAGCCAGCGCCTAACGCCAACTCTACCGAGCTGCGAGCAAACTGGCAGAGCTTAGAGTCCGAGCGCTAAGAGTCCTTCCACCAGAACGCACCATTGCGACGACCGAAGGGGGGGAAGGAAGCGATCACAACTCGACGGTCTCCCGGCTTATGCGCCCGAGAGCGGGCCAAGCAGCCGCACCTTAAAGGCCCTCGAAGAGAGGGAAGGGGGATTTGCTGGAAAAGCCGAGCGCTGCCGAGCAGAGCTGGGGGGGAAAGGCTGAGGCTCCGGTTCCCCCCCACTCACTCCGGTGTTTTTGGAAAAGTCCGCTCCTGGAGGTAGCGGGCTGGGAGGAGGGAAGCGAGAGGTGGAGAATCGCTTCTAATCGGCTCTTGACTGTTTTCAGAGATGTGATCCCCTTAACGAAGCGGTGCAGGCATCGTTTCGACGATCCTGGCTGGGTCCTCCTTTGCTGGGGGTGGGTGGATCTTCGCCAGACGTGGGGCTTGGTGGTGGTGGCAGGCGGGGCCGGGTGCCTGACAAGCAGGATGGATGAGATTGATTCTGTGCAGTAGACAGCTGAGCGCAGCAAATAAAGGGAGCTGATGCAGAGACGGGCAACCTGTGGCCCTCCAGATGTTGTGGGACCACAACTCCAGTCGCCGCTGGAGTTGGGAGTCCAACACATCTGGCTGGCTACTTGTTCCCGATCAGAATCATAGAGTTGGAAGGGACCACGAGGATCCTGCCTATCCTAATGTATTAAGATTCTGTCTGTGCAAAAGGAAGTTCTACTGCATTCAGTGGGGCTTGCTCCAGGTAAGTAGTTATAGAATTGTGGCATGCAAAAGATGCTTTGATGCTGTAACTTTCAAGTGCTTCTTGGGTATCTTCTTCTATAGCAGCGGTGAGGAGCCTGTGGCCCACCAGATGGTGGTTGGACTACAACGCCCATCTTCTCTAACCATTGACCATGCTGGCTGGGGATGATAGGAGTTGGAATCCAACAGTATCTGCTATACGCAGCCTAGACATCGCTGCGGGACCTCCCACAGGGCTGCCTAGGCTGCGGATGTGTTCCCGAAGCGCCGGGCGCTCTGCTTTCAGGGCGCCTGACGCTCCGGGAAGCAGGCTGCTATCCGCAGCCTAGACAGCCCTGCGGGACCTAGGCTGCAGGTGTCTTCCTGAAGCCTGGAGAGCGAGAGGGGTCGGTGCGCACCGACCCCCTCACTCTCCAAGGTTCAGCGAAAGCCTGCATTCGCCCCATAGGATGCACCCAGATTTCCCCTTCATTTTTGGAGGGGAAAAAGTGCGTCCTATAGGGCAAAAAATACGGTAATTATGATAGCTATGTTCCACCTCCACTGTTGGAGGCAGTATGTTTCTGAATGCTAGATGTTGGGAAGTGTAGGAGGGTAGAGAGTGCTGTCGCAATCAGGCCCTGCTTATGGGCTTCCCATGGGCATCTTGCTGGCCACTGTGAGAACAGGATGCTGGACTAGATGGTCCATTGGCCTGATCTACAAGAGCTTAGTCTTATCTTCTTATTGTGACTCATGATATTGAGCTGGTGCACCAGAACACTAAGACTGTCACACAAAGGCAGAAGCTGAAAGTAGCGTAGCTGTGTCTCTTAACTTACAACTTCACATTATTAGTGAAGTTAGCTAGGTGCAGAAAAGGAGGGGGTGAGGTTGGAGAGGGAACTGGGCAACAATCTTCAAATTCCTATCAACACAGACCACTTTGAACCTGTGCAACACAGAGCAGCTGTAAAACATGAACATGAAGTGCCCAAGTCCTTATTATTTCAGTTGGACGGTCCTTTCCCCCACAGAGCTACCAACCACCAACCATCAGCAGCAGTCTCCAAATAAATAGGCTCCCTCTGCCTGGAAATAAGCTATAGTTATCACAAAGTACTTCCTCTGCAAGTGTGGTGCTTAGCTGGCCAGAACTTCTGCTTCTTCCAACAGGCTTCTCTTCTCCATGTAGACATTCCTTTGGTGGCCAAGAGCCAGTATCCATTCCATGGGAGTTGGCAGTAAGGAACAGCAAGGACCCAGGGATGCCTGAGATATCTTCTGGCTTCCTGCTTCTACAGGGATTGGGAATATGTGGCCAGCTAGGTATTGTTGGTCTCCAACTCCTATCAGCTTCTGCCAGCACAGCTAATGTTCAGGGAGTTGGAGCCCAACAACAACTAGAGTTAGATAGACCCTCTGTCCTTGCGTCAGGAGTGATCTTATGCTCGCGCCCTGATAGTGGGCTTTTTGTAAGCTTCTGACTGGCCACTGTGAGAACAAAATGCTGAATTAGATGGGCTTTTCGACAGCAGGGGATTCTGGCATATGATATAAATGTACAGTGGTACCTCGGGTTACATACACTTCAGGTTACAGACTCCGCTAACCCAGAAATATTACCTTGGGTTAAGAACTTTGCTTCAGGATGAGAACAGAAATCGTGCTCCAGCAGTGCGACAGCAGCAGCAGGAGGCCCTATTAGCTAAAGTGGTTCTTCAGGTTAAGAACAGTTTCAGGTTAAGGACAGACCTCTGGAAGGAATTAAGTACTTAACCTGAGGTACCACTGTAGTTTATTAAACTGGCTGGGGAAGAATGAGCGTTTTGGGGAGAGGTTCATTAAGTTGTAGTTGCAAGCCCTGAACAGGGCAGGGTGAAATGGCTCCTTTTCTCTTAGAGCCATTTCCCCTTATTGCTTTTGGGGGTCAGGTAAAGCCAGAGGAGCCTTGAAACACTCACAGCATGGGAGGATTCCTTGATTCTTCCTCAACACTAGTTTCATACCTATGATCATGTGCAGCATCTTCTACCCAAGCTTCCCACTACTCTCCTGAGTCAGAACTGTTAGTGTAAAGCAGAGTCCCGTGCCCAGCAGAAGGATGAGGAGTACGTGCTGCATACTCTATATCGCTTTATTTATAGTTCAAAGCTGGTATATTACAGAAAGACATCATGCCTCTGCCGGAGCAGAAAATGCATCCTCTCTCCTCGACAGCTCGGAGAGAATCACCAAGTGAAACTGCAAAGAACAGTGAAAAACAGGAAACCAGTGTACGTCACATCCAGTCTCCCTTTCCCGTGAGAAACTCCAACAGTACAGACTGTGGAATGTAAACACCTGTCTCGTGACAAGCCCTTTCGCTGCACAGTGAAGGAAAGCAGAAACCAACAAGAACTCTTTGTTTCCAGGCAGAGTCAAGAGTCGTCTGAGGCATGTGATTCAGATCCACTGCTGAAGCTGAGCAGTTCTGGCCCTTTGAGTTGCCTGGGTAATAGGTGACCTCCTGAGAGCCAGATGTAAGCTGCTCTGAACTCCTCAGAAGAAGAATAAGGGATACGTTTAATAAGGACAGGGCTTGAGTCAGTCTGGTATCTTAAGACTTCTGACTAAGAAGTATAAGAGGGTGATTGCACTGAAGGGTGCTGTATATGATCAGATTTTACACTCAGCCTGATTCCAGGGCAACATAAAAAAGTCAACCTTCTATGTCTTGTAGCTTTTAGCTTTTGGAATGCAAACTTGACTCACCAAATGGGATAAATTATACAATCAACATGCCTTCAATCCAACCCAATACACTCAAGGATGAAGGGCATCAAAAGAATGTGGTTTAGCCCAGGCAGCCAAGTTGAGTGTGTCCAAAAGCGTCTATGTGCAAATACCAGAGTGCAAGTCCTGATAAATTAAAGCAAACTGTTTAAGTCTAGTTGTCCTTGATTCTTTATCTGGTCAACAAAGCAGAGTTTGTGCCTGCTGCGCTCCAGACTTTGGATGCTATGCTGTGCTTTATTTATATACTCAAATGCCCCCAAAGCAATGAACTGCTTATTAACACCAAAGAAATGCATAATAAACTCAATACAATAAATTCAGTCAATCAAAATAATATAAAACAGCAGTCACCAAATACCCACCAATCACACTGGATATACATTTGTGACTTGTGTTCATACTTGCATCACAGACGCAGCTCCTCAGCATTCTGCCTGTCTCTTGGAATCCAGATTTGATGTTTTATTGTGCTTTTAATATTCTGTTGGGAGCTGCCCAGAGTGGCTGGGGAAACCCAGCCAGATGGACAGGGTATAAATAATAAGTTGTTGTTGTTATTATTATTGTATATTATCATGTCCCCTCCCTTGGTTGCTCCAATCTCTCTTTTAAGAGCAAATCCATCCACAATCAATCACCCATAGGGAATGCTCATCACCCCACACCCCAAAGGATAATCACAAAGGGCTATATTCCCTTTAGTGTCCACCCCTCAAAGCTGCCCCCACTGGGGGCTGTCCACTGGCAGCAGCCCAGCCTCAACTGCAGATCCATATAAATAAGTTTCTCCCCTTCTGGAAACCAACAACAGCTGGTTTTGGGTGCAGCTAGCGAGGCAAACTGTCTGACTATTCTAAGAGGGTGCTGTTCCCCAGGTGCTGCAGAAAAGGGCTGGGAAGGCTAAGATGGCATTACCAACTAGCTGGCAACAGTCCTGCTACTGCTCCCTGCCTCCTCTTGCTCACTCCTGCTCAGAGGCAGTATCAGCGGAGTTGGTCAGCTGCCTAGGTCCCAGCACTCTGCCAGGACCCACCATTGCTGATGCATAGATCACCCAGCTTCCCAATCCTCTGGCTAGGGGCTTAGCTTTGGGAATCCGTAAGAGCTCTGTTGTTGTTGTTGTTGTTGCTACTACTACTACAATTTATATATTGCCCTATACTCACAGGTCTCAGGGCGGTTCACAAGATATACCCTTCTGTATACAGTTTGACATACTAATGTGAACAGATTATCACAGCAAGTAACATTCAAGGTTGTGTTAGTCATTCTGGGAGAAGATGTTTGAATTGCAGCTTCATTTCTTGTCCTTACCTGTTACACTTCCTTTTCTTCATGCAAGTACTGAGAAGTAAATAAAAACACATTTCTAAAAGTGGGTTTTTTTAAAAAGTCAAAAACTATTTGTGACTTCAGTCTCTCCTTCCTTTGTCTATATTCTTCTGCTACATAACAGAGGCACAATGGCCACACAATCCTTTCTCCTTTCTTTCTTTTTAATGAATTTTTTATTTTCTTCTCTATAGGTACAGAAAGAATAACAATGAAGAAAACAATGTCAAAGCCAAGGAATTCATTCCCAAACATTACACAACAGCAAATCTGCCATGAAAATAAAAATAAAACAAACTCAAAGGGAAAATTTTCTTCCCCCCCCCCCAACTCAAGTACACATTACAGTTATTTGTACTTCCTGAACAGCAAAATCACTCCAGGGAGTGACTAAAAATGATTGCCCAACAGAAGTGGCTTTTCTAATAAAAAGGGAACAGAAAAATGTCACGGGACACAGCAAAGAAGAAGATGACCTTGGCTTATGGCATAAGGGGGTGATTTACAAAGCCATCATTTAGGACTGATTCCCATTTCCCAGTGGTTGGCTGGGATCTCCCAGAAGACGCACACACTTTCAACTGCAGGTGCTATTGCTAAGTCTGCACAACAAATCTATACCCAGTGGTGTATGTAGGTGTCTGTATTGCAAACAAACAGGACCCCACACTTGTCAACCAATCCTAAATCTTCTTCTTGTCATTATTAAAAGTTTATTGAACTTTTACATTGGGGTACAATACTGGAATATGCTGTAGCATCTTAGAGAAAGTACAATACTGGAATATGCTGTAGCAGCTTGGAGAAAGCACTGGGGAAACTCCATACACACACGTTCTACTTCCCTTTCCCCCGAAAAGATAGAGATAGGGAAAGAAGCACATAAACACAAAAAGTATATGAGGAAGGTGTTCCTATCAATGAATATATATATAAAGGCAACAGTTCAAATTGATAGGTGCCTATCTTTCCATGAATTCTGATTTTTCTGTTATCTACATGAAACTGACCAACTATAAATCACCTATGTAATGGAGGATTACCCAGAGATACCACAATCTCCCTACCCGTGCAACCGTATCATGTATTGACCATACATACTACAGCAGCTCACTCCAACCTTGTAGATTCCAGCTAATCGGTTTGGACTTCAACTCCCATCCGCCCAGCCAATCAAGCAGGTTGAACTGAGATTCTCTCACTTCCCTAACATTGCAGGGAGGCAAGCTAGATGACTCTTGGCGTCCCTTCCCACTTTACAGTTCTATGAAAGGAGGGGACTAGAGCTCTCTGGAAGATTACTGGTACCTTTAACCAAACCATGAGTCTCAGGATTCCTAGAAGGAAGCCATGCCAGTTAAACATAGCATAGGTCTGGCCTCCTGGATAGCATTAGCCGAGCCTTTGGTTTGGAGGGAGCAATATATGTGGATCTACAGGAAAATGGTGAAGTTTAAGGAAGGATGGTGTGATATAAGCACTCACAGATGGTGTGCAAAGCAAAGCCTGAGCCAGATGGGTCTGAAGACTCATCCAGACTTCTTTCTGTGCCATGTCTCTAGGCACAGGTCTGTGTTTTAGGGCTCTGTGTTCAAGCACTTTCTTCCCCCTGGCGCTTTCTCCACTCTCTACAACTGAATTGGAGCAAAAGGTGGAAAACTTGAATTGATAGGACTTGAGTTCCAATTCAGAATTAAAGAGAAGGTTTTCCTGGGGAAAGCAGTTGGGGGGGGGGGAAGAGTTCGGACATGGAGCTTTAGAAAGGACCTGGATAGTTCAGTAGGTTAGAGCAGGGGTCAGCAAACTTTTTCAGCAGGGGGCTGGTCCACTGTCCCTCAGACCTTGTGAGGGGCTGGACTATATTTTTTTTTGGGGGGAAATGAACAAATTCCTATGCCCCACATATAACCCAGAGATGCATTTTAAACAAAAGCACACATTCTACTCATATAAAAACACGCTGATTCCCAGACCGTCTGCAGGCCGGATTTCGAAGGCAGTTGGGCTGGATCCGGCCCCGGGCCTTAGTTTGCCTACCCATGGTTTAGAGCATGGTGCTGCTAACACCAAGTTTGTCAGTTTGATCCCCGTAAGGGACAGCTGCATATTCCTGCATTGCAGAGGGTTGGGCTAGATCACCCTAAGGGTCCCTACTAGCTCTAGAATTCTATGACCTGCGCTTAGAAAGTGTGGGGTGAGGGGAAGCTAAGTGTGGCTGAGTCTTAACACTTTCCATCTGCACCACTTGTAAGGGGTGTTTTAGTGCCTGTGTTCATGGCAAATTGAGAATAACCCTCCCTGCCCATACTTTAATTTTTGTTTCTTAATGAGCTTTCATACAAACAAGCAAATCAACAACAAAAGGCGGCTTGGTGCTGAAAAGAGCAACATCCATTAACCGTGGGAAGGATTCGAGATGAGCACCACTTTCTCGGGGAAAGAAGGGCGAGAGCTTATGCAAACATTTGTCAGTGACCCTTTAGCCCCCTCATTAGGTGCACAGCTGCAGCCAGATTTACGCACTTTAATTAAAACTGACTTTACGAACTTGCTTGCTCAACCAGAAGAACATTAGACGGAAAAACCGTGGGGGAGGGGGTTAGAACGGTGACATTTTTTCTAATGAGTAAGCAGTTTCTAATCCTGCCTCCCCTTTCCTCCCAGGTAAATGGAAGTAACTTCCTCTAACCATGTGTGTGGCAATTAAGATCTCAAGCTGCCAAAGGAAAACAGTTTCCCCTTTCCCACATGCCAGCCTGTGTTGTCAAATGGGGCTCGTGAGCATGCTTGGGAAGAAACGTCCAATACTGCTGTCCTCTCAGTTTTTGCGCTGGTGAGCAAGGGGGTCAGAGGCAGCGTGCTACAATGGGGATTGCATGACAGGCACAGGGGAGCCATGAACAACAAGACACATCAAGTGGGTGAAAAATGGCAGCAACTTTATTGATTATGCTGGGGTTTGGTGTGACCCAGCGCAAGCTTCTGTCCACTAGATTAGATGCTCTTCACTGTCTGCCTGTAGGCATTGCAGCGTGGCAGGACATATTTGTACCTCAGTTTGAACTGGAGTGGTGAGGCACTTAGCAACTTGGGAGTATGCCATCTGGCCTTCCCCACCTCCAGCCCTTATCTAGGGCCAAGGTTTTGCACATCAGCCCATAGATTATCACAGTCTATGGATTCTACTCAATGCCCTCCCCTGCCAAGTTGTGACAACTGAGAGCATGACTGTCAGGGAACTGCCATTGGCTCAGAGGCGAGAGGTAGTGGGGCAGTTGTGTTACAGGGAGCCTCTGAAAATCTTGCGAAGCAGTTCCTCTTCCGGCGAGGAGGAAAGCCCCACCTCCAGTGGGGAAGAGGTGCAAGGACCAGAGGATGCTAGAAAGAGCCTTAACACCGCGCCTGAGCAAGCCGGAGAGGAGGGAAGCATGTCCCTGCCAACGCCCATCATGCACAGTAGTTTGAGGCACAGGGAGGGGTGGAAAAGGCTGCGGGTGACGAAACTTTTATGTTGGGGGAGGTACAAAAACAGACCACTCCCGGATTCTGCTAGCGATTGAGCTAGACATGAACTTATGACGCTCTTCACTCTAAATAGGTAAAGGTAAAGGGACCCCTGACCATTAGGTCCAGTCGTGACCGACTCTGGGGTTGCGGTGCTCATCTCGCTTTATTGGCCAAGGGAGCCGGCGTACAGCTTCCGGGTCATGTGGCCAGCATGACTAAGCCGCTTCTGGCAAACCAGAGCAGCGCACGGAAATGCCGTTTACCTTCCCACCCAAGCGGTACCTATTTATCTACTTGCACTTTGACATGCTTTGGAACTGCTAGGCTGGCAGGAGCAGGGACTGAGCAATGGGAGCTCACCCCGTCGCAGGGATTCGAACCACCGACCTTCTGATCAGCAAGTCCTAGGCTCTGTGGTTTAACCCATAGCCCCACCCACGTCCCTTCACTCTAAATAGTTTGCACCAAAATAAAGCCTGTAAAAGACAGGTCGGAGTCCTGCCTGGTTACTCTTGAGCAACCGCAACAGCACCTGACAATGACGGATTGGGAAGCAATAGCTTGATGTGAGGATGGCAACCTCCCCCTGCAAGAAAACCCAGGCCAATTTGATGGTGGGTAAAATTCCTTTTCTGGCCGTGAGGAACAGTGAACAGCACTAGTCCTCTGCAAAATGCTATTAACTGTGGGAATGTGGGTGGGTCATTTTGAAGCAGTGTGGGACAGAAGGGGGCTGCTGGAGTTGGGTGCACCCCTTGCTCCCCAGAGCCTGCCAGATTTGCTGAGTGGCTCCCCTGGAGATACTGGCAGCAACGTCTTCTGGCTCCCTCCCCCCACCACACCTAATGCACAATGTCCTCCGCTGCAGAGGTGCGGCAAAGTTGTACGACTATTAGAACAACAGACACCCACACAACCTCTTCCTAATGAAAGACATATTGCGGCGGAGCGTTGAATTTTTGCAGAAACGCAAGTAGCCAATCTACAAGGGAACGGTGAGAAAATAAGAAACACCTCGGATAATTTATTGAAGTTGGAATATTTTCATCCCCAAAAAGCACCATGATAATAAAGTGTAAAATAAAAGCTGCAGCAACAACAATAGAAAGAGCAATGCGCAGAATAATGGCATCTTCGCGATTCAACAAATCACTGTTGAGAGGAGGAGGGAAAGAAAAGGAAGGAAAAGATAAATTGTTTGGCTCCTCATTTTTGTCTGCATTGGAAATGAATATTATTACTTGCAGTTCAAATGGATAGGACATGGCCTTCCTCTGAGCTCTCTTTTATTAAGAGTATATTAGCTTATATTATAGCATAAAAGAGTAAGATATAAAAATTGCCAGCTTCTTGCCAGTATAATGAAAACCCTAATTATCCATGACCCTGCAGGACTTTCTACTTTGCTACACACACACACACACACACACACACGTATGCGTGTGTCTCTCTGTGTGTATATGAATGATACACACTTTTCTAGCCTTCATAAAGCCTTGGAGAGAAAATTAATAAAACAGTTGTCTGTTATCTCAATCACTAGCTATTGTGGTTTCAGATGGAGAGGAAAAGAAGTTCTCAGTGTTAGCACTTCAATAAAGATGAGAGCAAGTTAATAATTTCATGCACGTCAGTCATGAAGTGGTGACTTGCATGTGTGAAAGAACAGCACAGCTGCAGAAAGTGTCACCAGAGGTGGAAACCAAGCTTAGTTCTCATTCAAAATACAGTGGTACCTCAGGTTACAAATGCTTCAGGTTACATACACTTCAGGTTACAGGCTCCACTAACCCAGAAATAGTACCTCGGGTTAAGAACTTTGCTTCAGGATGAGAACAGAAATCGTGCTCCGGCGATGCAGCGGCAGCAGGAGGCCCCATTAGCTAAAGCGGTGCTTCAGGTTAAGAACAGTTTCAGGTTAAGAATGGACCTCTGGAACGAATTAAGTACTTAACCCAAGGTAAGGTAAAGGGACCCATGACTGTTAGGTCCAGTCATGGCCGACTCTGGGGTCGCTTTATTGGCCGAGGGAGCCGACGTGCAGCTTCCAGGTCATGTGGCCAGCATGACTAAGCCGCTTCTGGCGAACCAGAGCAGCACACGGAAACGCCGTTTATCTTCCTGCCGGAGCGGTACCTATTTATCTACTTGCACTTTTATGTGCTTTCGAACTGCTAGGTTGGCAGGAGCAGGGACTGAGCAATGGGAGCTCACCCCATT